TTTTATTCGGGCAGTGAAGTTTCGGGGGCCCACTCAGAATTTACTGTGGCCCCCTAATTTTCCGTTATTGGCGTGTGGCCCCTTAGAAACATAGCATGGCCTCCTGGGAGGGGGGGGGGGGCATATGGCCAACGTTGAGAACCACTGGTTTAAAGAATTAGTTCATAATTTACGAGATGGGAAGAAATTCTTAGAACCTGGTGTTTCGGTGTTCCAGGGACTGAAGATGTATGTCATGTGAACGGCCGGGTCGTAAATGTCTTTATGTTGCAGCTGTTCGGGTGCATTGTTTATCTGGTTTTCAAACTTTTCTACGACTTCAATCGCTTGAGACAATGAACCTGGTCCAACAAACTTTCTAATGTCAGGGCCTCGCCAACTAGACAGACGAATAACCTAAAAATATATAGAAGGTACAAAACAATTACTTTTAAACTTACCAAATAAAACCAATATTTATACTTCGAGAAAAAAAAAAAGGTTCTTCCAAAGAGCCACCCAGTGGTACATCGGTATGTCTACGGACTTACAACGCTAGAAACCAGGTTTCGATACCCGTAGTGGGCAGAGCACAGATAGCCCATTGTGTAGCTTTGTGGTTAACTTCAAACAAATCTTCCAACAATTTAATTTCTCCATTACATTTCTTCAATTTATGTCCCGGTGGCTCAACGATAAGATAGAGATTTGATAACATTTTCATTCATGGTTCAATCCCCACAGCAGAGATAATACTTATTGTGCCAACTCATACAAATACTCAATCTATTAGTTTAAAAAAATACTGTAAACTTTAAAATTACTGCATAAAATGGAAATGTATATTTTGAATATTAAGTTTTATTATAAGATACTTATGGCTGATATTGAAGATACAAAGCATGTTGAAATTTGATTTAATTTCATGTTGCTATCCCAAGAAATATGCCACAGCTAGAATTACTTGCTATTGGTCGTATCGTGGAATATCCTTTATAACTATATTATATTCTATGTAACCTCCCAATACATTTTATTATATTTCTTCCTGATTCGAACAATAAACAAAAATAATTTTCCTTTTCTGAACTTGATACTTAGAACCAGGTTCGTTGTTGGGCATTAGCCCACAAAACCGTGCCCCAAATCAATCTTATGTAAACTACAGTAAATCACATTGTAACGAAATGTTTTATATTTATCTTATATATGATACTGATATTATAAGTTATTAGTTGATATTTTAAAATAGCGAATTAGTAAACCTCTCAGTGAGGTGGGAATAACGTAAACAAAAAAACATTTCCTTTATCGGTCTTGTATTACGTTAACGTTGTAAGTGAGAAATGTTTTATCGGTTTTTATATTCCGTTAACGTTGTAAGAGAGAAATGCTTTATCGGTCTTGTATTACGTTAACGTTGTAAGAGAGAAATGTTTTATCGGTCTTGTATTGTAATACTTTAACGTTGTAAGTGATTGGTCCTGTATTACGTTAACGTTGTAAGAGAGAAATGAAGACCGATAAAGCATTTCTCACTTACAACGTTAACGTAATACAAGACCGATAAAGCATTTCTTTCTTACAACGTTAAAGTATTAACAAGACTGATAAAACATTTCTCACTTACAACGTTAACGGAATATAAAACCGATAAAGCATTTCTCACTTACAACGTTAACGTAATACAAGACCGATAAAGCATTTCCTCACTTACAACGTTAACGTAATACAAAAACCGATAAAGCATTTCTCACTTACAACGTTAACGTAATACAAGACCGATAAAGCATTTCTCTCTTACAACGTTAACGTAATACAGGACCAATAAAACATTTCTCTCTCTTACAACGTTAACGGAATATAAAACCGATAAAACATTTCTCACTTACAACGTTAACGTAATACAAGACCGATAAAACATTTCTCTCTTACAACGTTAACGGAATATAAAACCGAT